GTGGTGGTGTGGGACAGGCTGGACAAGAGTTGGAGCTGGAGCTGCAGATACATTCAGGACCGCTGGGGAGTCTGGGAGCAGTGGAAGTCACACCCCCTCCTTCTGACATTATCAGAGGAGGCAGGCTGACTCCCCTGCTGTATGCTGGCTGCAGGGAGAGCGAAGTTAGTTGAAAAGTACGAGTCCCCAGCTAGAGGCAGGGGATTCAGATTTTTGCACCCCCGCTCTGGCGCCCCAAGGCGGCCACCTGTGCAGTCTTATAGAGGCGCCAGCCTTGGTATAATTTGGGAAGAGGCAAGCTCTGGGAATTAATGGTCCATAGAGCTGACAAGGAACAAATAGAGGCCTGGTGACACAGATACTAGGAGTGAAATATTCTATCGGTAAACATGCAACAGGCAATTCTAGTACAAAAAAATATAAAACAGAAGAAATAGCAACTGCCAAAAAGAGAAAAGAGCACATGTGTGTGGGGTGATGAGTAAATGGAGTATCCCAGGTGTACCTTGCAGCTCTTAAAACAAAGTCAGTCTCTGAAATGCTTAATGGTAGGTGTCTTGATAACTAGTTCTCAGGAGCACTTCTGAGAGTGTGTTGTAACAGGGCTTGCCAATTTTATGGTCTCTCTTACCTTTTATTGCTCCATCTTTTCTATAAAGAAGGAACATGAAAATAAATCCTACTGGGATTAACAAAGCAGTGGAGAAAAGTAAAAACTACTGTATCATATGTGATACTATAATGAAAAAGTGACTTTTACACTAAATTGTTTTACTAAACATTTATGTTTATTTTTGAAGTTGTGAGAAAGTAAATAAAACGACTTAGCACAATTCCTTCCAGTTCTTTAACTTGAAATGTATCCAGAACGACACTCCACTGTCCAAATACAACCATAAATAAAAAGCACCGTTTAGTATATATGCCTCAATGAGAACATGCTTGCTTTTAATTGTGTATTTTCTTTCTTTGAGGGTATATCAAAAAACAGTTGTCAGAAGCTGCAGATTCTCTTGTCTGTAGTCTTTGCAAGCTTTCCCCTTCTACCCAGCCCAATTGTAGCCTCTTAAGTTTAGCTCCACTGAGCTTAACAACCAGGAAGTACCAGCCCCAGTTATGGGATTGACAGTCAGATGGGTGGAACAAGGTTAATTTTCAAAAGTGACAATTTCTATTGAAATCTGCACATTTTATAAAATGAAAAAAATAGAACACAATCTTCAGTCATAAAGCTCTCCAGCAAGATTTTTAGAGCTCATTTGCATTTGCATATATCCATGAATAAAGTGGAATTATGAGGCAAAAATTGTGTTCTTTGATGAGCTCATTTGCATATGCCTACTCAGACTCCCTTGGTTAAAGCAAGATTTCTGTGGTAAAAGCAAGTCTTATGGCTTGCCTGGTGTGTGTATTTGTGTTTAACATTGCATTAACTAGCCACTTATTTCAAGTAGAATGGGTTTTCATCCACACTATTTTCCCCACCACAACTTATTTAATATGTACTTAACAATTAATGTCAAGCCTCCATAGCAAGCCAGTGACCTATCTCATGCTGATGAGTTGAAACAACAGCTGTCCATGAGTGATTAACTGCCATTGCACCTGCACCTCTTTCTGAGTTGTGGAAGAGGTAACCAGAACTAGTGAAAGATTATATATGTTAAAACTCAATATTTAATAGATTTAAAAAGTCCAATAGGACAAGAAAAAACAAGATACATCACTCTAAAAAACTCAAATAGTACTATGTATAGAAAATAATAAATAAAACACAGCCAAAAATAAATAAAAAGAATATATATACATATGCGGCTACAATTAGCCTAAATAAAACGGAGCAGAGGTATCAAGCCTCTATATCTATGAATACTATGGTGCTTATGTCTCTATGAATATATAGACTAGCACCTTGACACGCTTTCATAAAAATACGAACTAGGTGGTAGACAGGGAAGAGGTATCGAACCTCTAAATTATTTGTTGTGTAGTGCCGTGTCTATATAGATATGATGCTAAGGGTAATGTGCTCATTCATACTAGCAAAAGGGCAGGAAAAAAGAAAAGTAATGCCTGCTAAAATAATTTTACTAAATAATCCTACTCACTATGTCTTATAGTTATAGTATTAATGGGATGTTTGTAATGTCTCCTAATGTGGAATCAATTTTAGTAATGACCATTCAAATAATTGTACAGTTGGCAAGTAGGTTTGTGCAAAAAGATATTGTAGGGTTAAAGTACTCTGTCCTTGATACCGAATGTTATCTACAGAAGCCGTTGGTAACAATGTCACTGAGCTCGCTTGCGATGTATCATAGATAAAATGTTGCAGATATTTTATTTAGATACCAAGATTATTGAATTGAGGAATTGACAGGTTAATAGCTATACATGGTGGATGTAGAATAGTGTTATTAGATACTCTATTCATCTAAATGGGTGAATATTAAAGTGGAGTAAGTGGGTGCTAGACAAAACCAGATAGATGCTGGGTATATACTATCTCACCCTGTTGTGCCTTCGAGGGCACCTCTTAAACCCACCAACAAAATCTCGCCCTATACTTATAATAGACAGACAGCCCCCTCCCAAAAATGCAAAGGGTGGTGGATAGAGTAGAGAAACACTCACACATAAGATCGAAATAGCTAGTTAGCCAATATATGTGATATCACTATAGCTAGTGAGTAAAGGCTCGTAAAAAGCCATTGTTTTTATTAGTTTTTTTAAAAGTTTTTTCTAAAGGTTTTTAAAAAAAAAACACCTAATCTAGGCAAAAAACAATGGGGATTTAGTTACATTATATGATCATTGATAAGTATCTCCAATAGCCTAAAAAACGCTAGATGATAAAAAATAAGTTGCACAAAAATTATTATCATATATATATATAAATATATATATAATCTTAGAATGCCTGGTAGCAATATACTAAAGTTGCTAGTATCGATGAGGTACCCCTAGTCTCCCTGGCATTTCGCTGTTTAGCTCATCAGAGGGCAATCGGTTGACTGACATTTCCTGGATTAGATAGGGGATACAGTGATCAATTTGGTTAGAGGATATTTAAATGTACCAATGGTATCGCTGTGTGTCAAGAGAAGTGGTCATGCTTGTTGGATGGGAGATCATAAATACACGGAATTGAAAAAGGTAAATATGTCAGAAAGATGCTGAAAATTTTAAGAATATTGAACAAAAATCTAAGTTAAATTGTATGATATACAAAAAAGAAAAGAAAAATCAAAACAAATAATAAAAACTTGATAGAGAACATATATTGCTTAATGTGGTTTTTCAGTAAGGGACTTGTATATTAAATGTTGTGTAAACTAATAAGTGATCAATATAGTAAATGATGAAGCCTTCCATAGTTGGCTGATGGTGTCAAAGAATAAATAGTATATGGAACAATTTTATATGAAAAAAAGTTCAGTGATTAACTATACTATTTCATCACTTTTATTACTAGATATGATCCTTACTTTATAAAACTACAGTAATAACTGATTACTGAATAGTGGAAACATTGTTATGGTTAATAAGGACTTTATTCCCAAGAGATTATAAATTGGCTGTTTGAGCTGAGGGTGATAACTTATTTTAATAAGAACTGCATACTAGATAAGTGGAGTACAGTAAAGAAACCTACGGTGATATTTTGTCTATGCAAGAAATGCTGACATTCATCCCGTTAAGTAAGATGATAAGTAACAGGTTGTGAAGCCTGAAAAGACTATAAGAATATGACCATTTTAATTGTAGTCATAACCTACTCAGGGTAACCATGTTTTTAGTGCTGCAAGTAGAACATTTGAATGTTCCACTCAAATGATTATGATTATATGGGGGACCATGATTATAGCAAAACCCAGGTATAGTCTCCACGCTGACCATCCTTGCTGTATTAGGCTTATGGAGTAATGATAATTAAAATTAAAATAGTACTGGGCAAATGTATATATCAAAGTACGGCATGAAGTATACATTCACAGATCATAAGTCTGAATGTGGGTTGAACAATAAACCTCAATATAGGTCAAATTTCTACTTAATATTTTATTAAAATATTGGGACATGTATTACAGTATAAGATAGACAATTGTCAACTGTGTGAGTAGGTAGTTAGACAGGTCTTTAGAAAGCTTAAGAATTCTGCTAAATTTGAAGATTAGTCATGAATGAAGGGAGTGAAATTAAACTCCTCATTTAGAACTCGGGGTGCTAATGTCTGGAATAGGTGTATCCATTTTGATTCTTGTCTCAGCAATTTTAGAATAAAATTGCTCTTCCTGGAGATGAGAGTGATAAGTTCAAGTGTCTGAAATTTCAGATTGGAAACGTCACTATTATGTACTCTTGATGTGGTTGGCTACTGGGGTAGTAATGTTCAAATTAGTAACTGTATTGACGTAGCTTGGTATGCTCCTAAGATTAGGTGCAATAGGGTCCAGGAGTCAATTCACTTGGAAAGGCTTCTCTATATTGAAATAGTTAGGAGGGATACACAGCTAATATATATGGGGTGTATGACTTTAAATCTGCTAGGAGCAGAATCAAATTGCTACACACCAAATTGCTCTACTTAAAATTTCAAGATGTAAACTGTAATAAAAAAATAAATAAATATATAGGAAAACAGTATAAGGAACTGTTTCCTATATGGTAGGAAGCTTATACAGTTATGGGTGTATATGTCTTTAAATCCATAACTGGTAGAACATGACAGGACCTATGTCAGTATCACGTACTGTGATACAGATAAAAAAAATATAAAAACCAAATGCAAAATATATACTATTAGATAGATCACTATATGTTATAAAAACAAAATAAATAAATAAATAAATTTAGATTAAAATTAAAATTAATGTAAAGTTTATTGAGCAATAACAGTATTAAAAATGTATTCAAGTGTGAATAAAAATTAAAAATAAAGATCAGGAACGTATTGCAAGAATGTTACCAGCACTTCAGCAGTCCTAATATCAACTGAACCGCAGGGACCATCCAGGATGGATATGGATACAGTATTGCTCTCACTGTGATCTCTGGCTGTCGGCTGTGAGGTTGGCGTGCGTCCCAGACCTCACTCTGAGAGATGCACGCTTGCCGGCCGGTCGGTCCCCAGATGCTTCAATATCACACTCTCAATGAAGAGGTGTTGTTTGCTGCTGGTTTACAGAACTTCTGCGTCCGTATCCTGTTTGTCTAACGCGTTTCGTGGGTGTCAGCCCCACTTCATCAGAGACGGGATGAGGATTCAGTAATCCGTGTTTAATAAATATGCATTCGGCTAATTGTAATTAGTAACATAAGTGTCATTATTAAAAAACATTGTTAAGAAACATTGTGTGCTCGGTATTTAACCCTTAATGATACATATATGTACATATAAAGAAGGAAATCATAATTACAAAAAATGGAATAATTCATTGAGAGAAGTAATTAATTAGACTTCAATTCTTCATACATATATCGAAAAAAGATTCAGAGGTATAACAATAAGTATTAGAAACAGTATAAGTTAAAATGTATCAGAAACAATATAAGTATGTATAGAAATCATAGTTACAAAAAATGAAAGTTACAAAAAAAGTGAAATAGTTCATTAAAGGAGATAATTAATTAGACTTAAGTTCTTCATAAATATATCGAAAAAGGATTCAGAGGTATAACAATAAATATCAGAAACGGTATAAGTTAAAAAAGTAAAATAGTCACAGAATATAAAAGCTGGCTTTAGAATACATAAAAGCAGTATATATTATGTGTATACATACGGATACATACGAATAAATATAAAACGCAGTCTTCACATACAAGTGCTTAATGGAAAGCTAGATTGCAATATGTGTAAGAAATACATATCTGGAGTAAATGAAAAACAAGAGGAATATAAAATGTCTATAAAAGAAAGAAAAGTGTGCAAGTTAATCTAATCATTAAAATAGGCAGAAAGATGTGCAAAAAGTGTGCAAAAAGTGATGAGGAATACAACAACTTTAAATATTGTACTTCCCAAAACGGATACTTCTGAAGACATAGTTACATTGAACACACATATAATAGGGATAATTATCTGTCCAAGTGAATTGACTCCTGGACCCTATTGCACCTAATCTTAGGAGCATACCAAGCTACTTTTATCCTAAGGCGTAGTATTTGGTGAAACTCCTGCCCATATCCAGTTTGAGACATTTCGCTACAAGTCGGACTCCCTCACCTCTGGGTGTTGCAAGAGGCATACCAGACCATCTTAATAGTAACTGTATTGACATTCTGTAGAATTCGTCTTCTAAATTGCTGATAAGTTTTGCCCACGTATTATATTCCACAGCTGCAGGTGATCACATACACCACTTTGGTGGAACTGCAGTTTATTAATTGTTTGATGGAAAATTGTGTTTTAGTTTGGGTACATTCAACGATTTTAGATGGTTTGACAAAATCAAATGCCTTACAGTGTCCACACCTATAGATGCATTTGGTGGTGGTAAGCCAAGTTTGAGGGGCCGAGACAGGTTCCATATAGCTGTGTACCAACATGTCTTTTACATTTTTAGATCTGTGCGCTGTAATACTGGGAAAGGGCAATAAATGATCAGCCAAACACAATTTTCCATCAAACAATTAATAAACTGCAGTTCCACTAAAGTGGTGTATGTGATCACCTGCAGCTGTGAAATATAATACGTGTAAATTTAGAAGACAAATTCTACAGAATGTCAATACAGTTACTAATTTGAACATTACTACCTCAGTAGCCAACCACATCATGAGTACATAAGAGTGATGTTTCCAATCTGAAATTTCATAAACTTGAACTTATCACTCTCAATTCCAGGAAGAGCAATTTTATTCTAAAATTGCTGAGACAAGAATCGAAATGGATACACCTATTCCAGACATTAGCACCCCGAGTTCTAAATGAGGAGTTTCAGTTCACTCCCTTCATTCATGACTAATCTTCAAATTTAGCAGAATTCTTAAGCTTTCTAAAGATCTCTCTAACCACCTACTCACACAGTTGACAAGTGTCTATCTTATACTGTAATACATGTCCCAATATTTTAATAAAATATCAAGTAGAAATTTGACCTATTTTGAGGTTTGTTGTTCAACCTACATTCAGACTTATGATCTGTGAATGTATACTTCATGCCGTACTTTAATATATACATTTCCCAGTATTATTTTAATTTCAATAATCATTACTCCATAAGTCTAATAAGGCAAGGATGGTCAGCGTGGAGACTATAACTGGGTTTTGCTATAATCATGGTCCCCCATATAATCATAATCATTTGAGTGGAACATTCAAATGTTCTACTTGCAGCACTGAAAACATGGTTACCCTGAGTAGTTTACGACTACAAGTAAAATGGCCATATTATTATCATCTTTTCAGCCTTCACGACCTGTTACTTATCATCTTACTTAACGGGATGCATGTCAGCATTTCTTTCATAGACAAAGTATCATGGTAGGTTTCTTTACTATACTCCACTTATCTAGTATGCAGTTCTTATTAAAATAAGTTATCACCCTCAGCTCGAACAGCCAATTTATAATCTCTTGGGAATAAAGTCCTTATCAACTAGAACAATGTTTCCACTATTCAGTAATCAGTTATTACTTTAAGTTTATAAAGCAAGGACCATATCTAATAATAAAAGTAATGAAATAGTATAGCTAATCTCTGCACTTTTTTCATAGAAAATTGGTCCATATACTATTTATTCTTTGACACCCTCAGCCAACTAGGGAAGGCTTCATCATTAACTATATTGATCACTTATTAGTTTATACAACATTTAATATACAAGTCCCTTACTGAAAAACCACATTAAGCAATATATGTTCTTGTATAGGGAGAGGCATTAGCAGTAGAAATAGGGAAGTGCTCATGCCATTGTACAGAACACTGGTGAATCCTCACTTTGAGTATTGTACACAGTACTGGAGACCGTATCTTCAGAAGAATATTGATACCTTAGAGAGGGTTCAGAGAAGGGCTACTAAACTGGTTCATGGGTTGCAGGATAAAACTTACCAGGAAAGGTTAAGGGATCTTAACATGTATAGCTTGGAGGAAAGATGAGACGGGGGGATATGATAGAAACATTTAAATACATAAAGGGAATCAACACAGTAAAGGAGGAGACCATACTTAAAAGAAGAAAAACTACCACAACAAGAGGACATAGTCTTAAATTAGAGGGGTAAAGGTTTAAAAATAATATCAGGAAGTATTGCTTTACTGAGAAAGTAGTGGATGCATCGAATAGCCTTCTAGCTGAAGTGGTAGAGGTTAACACATTAAAGGATTTTAACCCCTTAAGGACCAAACTTCTGGAATAAAAGGGAATCATGACATGTCACACATGTCATGTGTCCTTAACCCCTTAAGGACACATGACATGTGTGACATGTCATGATTCCCTTTTATTCCAGAAGTTTGGTCCTTAAGGGGTTAAGTGGTTAAGCATGTGTGGGATAGGCATATAGCTATCCTAACTATAAGATAAGGTATTTAGAAAATTGGGCAGACTAGATGGGCTGAATGGTTCTTATCTGCCATCAGATTGTTTATCAAATTTTTATTATTCATTTTGATTTTTCTTTTTTGTATATCATACAATTTAACTAAGATTTTTGTTTAATATCCTTACAATTTTCAGCATCTTTCTGACATATTTACCTTTATCCATTCCGTGTATTTACAATCTCCCATCCAACAAGCATAACTACTTCTCTTGACACACAGCGATACCATTGGTACATTCAAATATCCTCTTACCAATGGGATCACTGTATCCCCTATTTAAACTGGAAATGTCAGTTTCCGGTTCCCCTCTGATGAGCTAAACAGCTAAACGCACGTCAGGGAGACCATCTATATTAGCAACTTTAGTATATTGCTACCAGGCATTCTTAAGACAAGATTACCACAACGGCTTTATAGGAGCCATCATTCGCTAACTATGGTGATATCACACATATTGGCTAACTAGCTATTTCGATCTTATGTGTGAGTGTTTCTCTACTCTGTCCACCACCCTCTGCATTTTTGGGAGGGGCTGTCTGTCTATTATAAGTATAGGGTGAGTTTTTGTCGGTGGGTTTAAGAGGTGCCCTCGAAGGCACAACAGGGTGAGATAGTATATACCCAGCATCTATCTGGTTTTGTCTAGCACCCACATACTCCACTTTGGTATTCACCCCTTTATATGAATAGAGTATCTAATAACACTATTCTACATCCACCATGTATAGCTATTAGCCTGTCAATTGCTCAATTCAATAATCTTGGTATCTAAATAAGATATCTGCAACATTTTATTTATGATACATCGCAAGCGAGCTGAGTGACATTGTTGCCAATGGCTTCTGTAGATAACATTCGGTATCAAGGACAGAGTACTTTAACCCTACAATATCTTTTTGCACAAACCTACTTGCCAACTGTACAATTATTTGAATGGTCATTACTAAAATTGATTCCATATTGGGAGACATTACAAACATCCCATTAATACCATAACTATAAGACATAGTGAGTAGGATTATTTAGTAAGATTATTTTAGCAGGCATTACTTTTCTTTTTTCCTGCCCTTTTGCTGGTATGAATGAGCACATTACCCTTAGCATCATATCTATATAGACACGGCACTACACTACGAATAATTTAGAGGTTCGATACCTCTTCCCTGTCTACCACCTAGTTCGTATTTTTATGAAAGCGTGTCAAGGTGCTAGTCTATATATTCATAGAGACATAAGCACCATAGTATTCATAGATATAGAGGCTTGATACCTCTGCTCCGTTTTATTTAGGCTAATTGTAGCCGCATATGTATATATATTCTTTTAATTTATTTTTGGCTGTGTTTTATTTATTATTTTCTATACATAGTACTATTTGAGTTTTTTAGTGTGATGTATCTTGTTTTTTCTTGTCCTATTGGACTTTTTAAATCTATTAAATATTGAGTTTTAACATATATAATCTTTCACTAGTTCTGGTTACCTCCTCCATTCCTCTTTGTTCTCCTGTTTATCCACACCGGGGATATCCCCCAATAAATAGGGGCTGTAATGCTCCGGCTCCACTCTTCCATTTCCTCTCTCTATCATCCCAAATTATCTTTCTGAGTTGTGTTCAAAGCTGTTGTATGCAGCTGACACATACTCCAAGGAATCCATGTATAAAGTGAAATTATGAGGCAAAAATGTGGTTCTTTGTTGCGCTCATTTGCATACACCTACCCAGAATCCTTTGCAGTAGTGAGAGCACTGTTAAAGGGATATTTATGT